ATTTGAAAACTGCTCACTTGGAATGAACAGCTCCACTCAACATCTGGTATCACAAACTGCCCTCAGTCTCCAGATGCTAAGGAGATACAAATGTAGCACAGACTGGAGCAACTCATTAACAGGGATGTAATGAGCTCTCCTTGTGTGCCACACTGTGCCCCTCTGGGTGCCGATGGTCCCACAGCCCACAGCCACAGAAGTTGGGGCTGGGAATGGCACAGGGGAGGCAGAGCCGGCCGTGGTGCAGGCAGTGCTGCTGGCTGCTCAGCCACCCCTCACAGCCTCTCCAGGTTCAGCTCACATACACCAGCAGTTTTGTCCCATTTAGATCTGCTTTTTTTTTCACGTACCTACAGTAATGTCCCTAATCACATTTTTTGGTAAGTTGCTTCTTACCCCTCTATTGGTGGTCTCAGAACAACTGACTACTGCCATCTCTGTGACTGCTGTTTGTACATTTGAGGACCGTTGCCATGCTCTTGCATTGTTACTTCTTTTCCAGGTCAAACACCAAAGTCCATCTCTCCTCACAGCTTACATTTCCTAAGCTTCTTGTGGTTTCGGTTGCTATTCTCCTATCTTGTTTGCCCACATCTTTTTTAAGAGCTTTTGTAATGCCTGAAACTGGAAAGAGTGCTTCAGCCAAGTCTGACTGGTGCTGAACAGAAGAGAAATAACACAAAACAACCAAAATTACGTACGATCCCCTGTCACTGACACTCAGAACTGCACAACTACTCTGCAGCGCTGCACAGGCCTGCTGTAATCCCAAGACTCTTCTGCACTATTTTCACTCAATGGGGCAGTCTTCATTTGACATCTGATATCCCTTCTTAGTGCCTTCTTCTGCTAGAATTTTATCAGGATGGATTCAGACTGGATCTCCAGTAACATCAGGGCAATTTTTAAGCCCATGCATTCCATGGTTGGAATCGCCGCAAGCGTTGTAACAGTACTCTGTGCTCCATCACACAACTCATTATGGAAAACAGCAAGGAAAACTGTTCCCAGACAGTTCCCTGGGAGATCCTGCTTGTGTCCTTCCTCACTGACAGCAATCACCAATGAAGGCTTTTTAAATGCAGATTTTCATTAACAAGATTATTACAGAATACTTATACAAAGGCAAAACTCTTCATATGTATCATTGTGGTCAAAAACAGCAGTTTCTTCCCTTCTGCAGACAAAGGCTGGGAGCCGTCATAAGAAATCTTTCCAAAGTCAAATAAAAATCATAGGCAATATGAGGAAGAAGCCGCCCATTGCCCACAGCCGCCAGCAGCCCTTTCTGCACAACTCCTGTTGACAGCTATAGCTGAAGACTGTAAGCATGACTATTTCTGAGTGCCCACACAATTCTGAAGCAGACTCATTTAATTTGGAAAAAAAAAAAAAAAAAAAAATCACTATAGTGTAAGTTTTCAATTTACGTCGCCATAGCAACAAAGGACCTCAGCTGGATCGAGACCCCCCGCTCCCTGTGGAAGTGCACAGCGCTCCGCGAACAGACAGCGCTGTCCCCGTCCCCGCCCGGCGCGGAGGTGCGGAGTGCGGCTGCACCGCTCCGAGCGCTGCCTGGCAGGTAAGGAGCAGCGCCGGCAGCGCAGCGCGCCGGGACCGGCAGCACGAGGGATGGGAGCGGTTTGTCCAGAAACGGGGCTGTGGCAGAGCTGAAGATGCTGCTGTTTCCTTGACCCGGGAACCAAGATTTAATTCACGCTTTCAAACAGAGGTTCAGTCCACTCAGAGTAGTTTCTACCCAGACGTCATACAAATTTCATTCAAAAGACGACACGGGGAATGCTCTCCTAATCTTTGACGACCAATGTCCGTGTGTTAATCGTCACCGCACACTGCAACGGTGCCACCGGAGCAAAGAGCAATTATCGCTTTCCTAAAGCCGTTGCTAACAGGCGGGGGGGTGAGGGGGGGAAAGGAGATTCTATGATTTATGCTTTGACGGACACTTTTATCATCACGCTTCTTTAATGACAGAGAAGCAAAGACAAAATCCCGCACGGAGCGGGCAGAGCGCCACAAGTTCACCAATGCCTCCAGCAGCCCCGGATGCCACCTGCGGGCAGCCCCGCAGCTGCGCTGGTGGTGACGGCGAGGCAGAGCCCCCCCGGTCCGCAGCACCGCTATCGGCCTGCCGTTGCCGCTCCCGTCTCCCCATTCCCACTCTCCCTGCTCCTGCTCTGCCCGCTCCCGTCTCCCGGCCGCTGCTCTCCTCGCTCCCGCACCCCTCGCTATCGGGCGAGAAGCGGTTTCCGCGGAGGAAAGCGCCGGGAGCTCCTCCTTCCCCGTCCCCGCCGTCAGGTCAGCCCGGGCCCGCAGAAGAGCTGCAGTCGGGCGAGCAGCGCTCCGCGCAGCCTTGCGCCGCCCTCCTCGCGGGCTTTCCGCACGTCGCGAAGCCGCCCGGCCGCCTCCGGGCCCGCCGCCATGCGGAGGTCGGAGCCCCTCCGCCGCCGCCGCCGCCGCCCGCCCTCCCCCCGGCCCCCCCGG